CTGATGGAGTTGTAGTAAGGATTAAGTAAAATGGAAGTGTTTGATAAACTTTGTTATCACCAAAATAAAGTTCTTTCTTATATTTTAGACTTATGGGAATAGAAACTTCTGATTTTCAAGGGTGGTAGTTTTGTTCATTATCTTAGTGGTGATGGTGGCACAGGCATATACATCTGTCAAAACTTATAAATTGTACTCTATGAATATGTGCAGCCAATTGTGTGTCAGTCAATTCAATTAAGCTGTTAAAAATTGTTTGGTGTGTGTGTGTGTGTGTGTATGTGTGAATTTAGTAGCTAGAAAAATCCTTCTACCTGACACAGGTGCATGAGGTAACACCTCTCCTCCAAAGAAATTGGATCCATTTTCTTTAGAGCAAGAAATGTAAGATGCTTCTAGATGTGTCTGTTTTTCATGAGAAATTCATTCTTCTGCTAATGATGCACCCACATGTTACCATGATGTCCAACTTAATGGATGGTTATACCTTGAACCTTTAAATGTCAGGAGAAATACTCTGCAGAGAGCAATGGTCTTACATAGCATAAATACACAACCTTGAAGTCTCACAGATAATATTCTTCCTCATGGAATATTTGGACCCAGTGATGGTGTTTAGCTTTTAACTTTTTCATCTGGAGTAAGAATTCACATTAATTCTAATGGAAAGGCAGCAGCTATCTATAGGCATTCCATCATGCACCTTTCCCTTATATGATTCATGTAGTTTCACCAAAATCAATGAAGTCAGAGGCTCATTAGAGTAAACAGCTCAAAAGCACTTCCAAGACCCCCACTGGATGCCTGAAATTTCCCACAGTACCAAACCATGGTATGGTTTTTCCTATACATACATTCCTATGATAAAGTTTAATTATAAATTAAGCACAGTAAAATATTGACAATAAAAAACTAATAATAATAATATAACAAATTTCTGTCATCAAACTATAAGAGTGTGGTCTCTCCCTCTCAAAGTGCTGAACTGCATCCCACCTTCTTGTGATGATGTGAGATGATACATTATCTCATGGATAAGATGATGTGGGTTCCATAGGCCTTGACTTCACTTTCTTACAGAGAGAAAGCACTCTGTAACTTCTGTTTAACATATCTGAAATGAATTATCAGCATCACTACTCTTGTTTCAGGAGTTTTAGATCCCAGGCCCAAACTCCTGGATTCAAATGTCAGGTCCAGGTGTTACCACAAGAAGTTGAGGAGGTTCCCACAGTGTTCTGGTTTCCATGCAAAATCACAGGTATTTGAGATCCACACATGAAAAGCATTTCAAGTTTGTTTCACAAGGAATCTCACAAGGTGGAAGTTTTAGCAAGCATTTATTTTAGTATAACAGGACAAAGAAGGGAGAAGTAGGAAAAAAAGGGAGACACACTTCCTATTCCCCACATAGGAAATGGGAGCAAAACCTCAAAGCGGTGGTTCCTATCTGTAGCCATGCTTTGTGAGCTGGGAGAATGCACACCATGAAGTTGAACCTAATGAACAGTGGTTCTGGGTGCCTAAAATGGGTGTTGTTTATTATTTTGAAGCATGGAGATATGATCTAGGCCTACCCAAAACACAGGGACAATAAGTGAGTTTTAAGACTTCCATTTCATGTTTTCTGTCTCACCATCCCTCCAAGGAGCCCTGCATTTCTTTAACATCTCAGAGAAAGACAGTTGCACATAGCACTTTTATGTCTCCCTGTCCTGTAACTTAACATCTAAAAAGAGATTGGGCGGGGGTGGCTGCTCTGGCTGTTCAGTTTTTACTTCCTCATTCTCATGTCTGAGTCTTTTAATAACCTGTCTCCTCATCTATCTGTCCTGCATCATAGCTACTTGCCCCAATACACCAAATAGAGATGAGTAATGGTGGAGGTCAGAGAAAAGAGATTTAATTAACATGGCACAGGCACACTGCAGGAAGAGGAAAGGTGTATCTTTCAACCCATCTTCCCAGTACAGACATTTGCTTTAGGTTTAAATAGAGGAAGAATTAGGGGCATGGGAAGAGGCATGCATAATTATTAAACAGTCCAAGTTAGAGGTGTGTTCTTGTGGTCATAGACGTCCGTCCAATGTTCACTTATTGTTCTATGTCCTAGTCATTGTCTCAGGATGATCAGGCAGGGCCTTGTTACAATAAGGTCCTTTCTGTTTCCCTGGGGAAGGAGGAGGGGAAGTTTGTCTCCTGTCACAGAATGTGTATCCAATGTCCTCTCCTTCCTGGATTCTAAGATGGCTATAAAGTTACTATGAGAGAGAATGGCTCAGAACAAAGGACAGATGGACAGAGGTGCCAAGCTTTTAGTTACTTTTGGACATTTGCTGGCCCAAGTGTGGAAGTCAGTGTTTTATTTTATTTTAGCAAAAACAGTTGTTACGCTTTTATACTTGGGATCATTGTTAAGTAAAATAAGGGTCCCTGGAACACAGTCACTGAATACCCAGACAGTTGATCTGATAATCAAGATAGCCAGTAAGTGATAATGGGCCAGGAACATTACAGTGCGAATATGCTGGACAAATTAATGAATGGTTCTGATCCTGGGCACGGTGGAGGACTGTGGTGGGAGATTTCATCACACTATTCAGAATAGCACACAATTTAAAACACAAATTGCTTATTTCTGGAATTTTTCATTTAATTTTTAAATCACAGTTGACCAGTAACTAAATCTGTAGAAAATGAAATTCCAGATAAGGGGTAATACTGTAGAGAAAGTGTGCTGTGTCTGAGCATACATGTTTATACATACCTGTTTGTCTGTATTCTTTTTGCAAAATTGATTTTTGGAAATAATTAGAATTCCATAATAATCTGTGACTTTATCCAGTTGAGTTAATACTAGTTAGGGGTAGGAAATGAGAAGAATGGATATTGGGGGAAAATGTTATTTGTTAAGACGATGGTGCTGCATATCAGTTACAAAATCTTAGTGACATGAAATGATAAAGATTTCTTCAGTTCACACCTTTGTGTACTGGCCTTGACTGGTATCACCTGGGCATCTATGTTCTTCGATGCTTTTCTGTGATCAACTGCAGTTACTCACTCATATGTCTTGGGAGTTGTTAGCCCTTGGATCATCTAGTGTGACCACACACTAGATGACTTATTTCCATCTTCATTGCAGCACCAGGTGAATAGCATGGACATAGTCACATAGCCATATAAAGTTCAAGGAAGCCCAATGCTTAAAGCCCTTTCAAGCATTTGCTAACATTCTGTTGCCCAGATCAATTCACATGCAGATCAGACCAAGTGTCAGAGTCAGGGGCCTTAAAAAATTACATGGCAAAGAGCAAGGACACAAAGAATTAGAGTCATTAATACAATTAATTTTTAGCTGAACACATTTTCTCAGTTGGTGAAAGCAGGAGGTGATTCATTTTAGTTTTCAGACTTTAAACTTGCAAAATAATATTTGGTTTGTTCCAATATACATGCTAACAAATTAATCTTCTGAGGCATCACAATGTATTCACTAAGTTCATTAAAGCCAATATGGCTTTATTTTCTAGTCAGACAGGAGGTAGAGGGATCATCAATTATTAAAAAACAATTTTGCTTTGTTGGGTTTTGCAGTGTCATTGTTGGAAGAGGAATTCTGACGTACTTTAGTTTTGGTGACTTACTCTGAGGAAGTTGACTAAAGATATTACAGGGCATCCACAATCAGTTAGCCATTGGTGAGTTCTAGTCATATCCTTTTGTTACCAGGATCTGCCAAAACTGGACAGATAGAAGTTAGTGGTAGAAAATAGATTTATTAAAGTTTAACCCTGAGGAAAGTAAAGGGTCTTTTCCATCCCAAATTTCCATCTTCCAGGGCCCTGAAGGGCTTCTATGGGACAAAGTGGGTACAGTGAGACAGTGGGTAGGGTTTTCTCTTATTCCTCAAGGACTTTATCAAAATGGATCTGGACCTCAACCTTCTGCCTTTTCTCTTCAGACAAACTATTTTACTTCAAGTCAATTCTTGTGAATGGAGGAGAGGAGGCCACTCATTACCAAGGCCTTTCTTTAGGATTTAGAACAGCATGTGAAAAGGATGGGTCATTAAAAGATTAGGAAATAGACCTCTTCCCCAGGGAGCTGCTCTGTATTTTCTCTTGTGTGTTCGATTAATATCCTAATAATTGTTCTGATATGGTGGGATTTTTAGGTGGTGAGGGTCCTTTTTTCTGCACATAGATAGATATCAAAGCAGAAACTTGGGCAGTAAAAATCAGAAAAGTTTTATTTGTAGAGAAGAAAAAGCAAAGGCCACATGGGGGGACATGCAGCAGGACCCAGAAACTGGTAGTCCTCCAAGTTGTGTTGGATGTCAGGTTTTATAGCTTTTCTGTTGCCAGTACGAGGAGTATGTTTTGGAGCAAAGATTTTGGCGTAAATAGGTGTTTCTTGGAAAGGAGAGGGGGCATTTCTCCCTGGCTAAGTGCCATCTTTCTAGAGTTTACTGGGAAACTGGAGTGGAAAGAGTTCAGGGGAGGATCAACTTCTAATCTTAAATTCTGAAGGAGTATAAGAGAATAAAGCAAATTTGGTGGCAAATTAGCAAAAGCTCTCCCTTTTTCTAGAAAGAAGTCAAGCATCTTTTTCCAAAACTGAATCCCAGTTTCTGTAGTGAAAATACAGTTGCCTTGAGGAAGAAATCATCATCCTTACACAAACACTAACTATGACCATGTTTCAACTTCAACAGAAGGATAGATGCCTACCTCTGGATTTCTAAGGATAGTTCATATTCTACTTCAACTTACTACTTTCAACAATATTTATTATACTCTTTTAAGGTCTGCCAGTATTTTTTTGAATCCCAGTTAGAACAGCAGCCAACAAAGTTGAGACTAAAAGGAGGCCAAATATCTCTTTAGAGCCAAGATGTTACTTCAAAAGATATCCTCACAAAGCACTACTGTGACTCAAATAATTATTTGTTTCTAAGGGGGATTTACTAATGTGGAATTGGTTTCTTATCTTCTCAGCTCCCAGTGAGCCTTTACTGTGCAAATTTGCTGATGGAGGACAAAAGAAACGACAGAATCAAAGCAAATACACCCAGAATGGGAGGCCATGGCCCAGAGAAGGAGAGGTGAGTCCTGAGGATAACTTTTGCTTAGCAATTTGGCAGCAGACATCTCTCAGAAGGGTGGCAAAGCAGACATTTATAACCATGATAAAATTAGGTCCCATGGAAGACCCTGACCTTACCAGGCCAAAGAAGCAGGCCTGTATTAATCTGTCCAGGATGAAATTACCTGAGGAGGAATATAGGACTTAAAATAAAACCTCAGTTCTACACTGCAATAAGCCTTCTTTGATCAAACTTGCACTTCATAGGAGCTCACTGAAAGACTTATCCACTAAATTTAATCTGTAATTGTGTAATAGTCATAAAGGTATGATATCTTAAGAAAACATTTTCAGTGCAATCAATATTGAGAGTTAAATGTTTTTGTTTTGACAAAGGCAAGAAAAAATTAGTCTTATTTCACCCTGCCATCCATGGTCTACTTGCATGTGTGTGTATGTTTATGCAGAAGCTCATGTTCATAAAAGTGTTGATATGTATGTTACTTATGTATGTATCAATTTAAAATATGACATGTTCTGTTGGTCAAAATGGAGGAAGAAAGATTGACAAATGCTGTGTTCACAGCTCACAATAAGAAAAGGAAAAGCATTTTCCTTAAATCTGTTCATTTAAGTTCTGAACACAAATTGAAAGAATGGCATGCTTGTGGATCCAATGCCACCTGGGAATGAATTCTGTTTGGTTACTTTTTTTTTTCTTCTTTGTTTTATAAAAAGACTAGGGAGAGGTGTCTGAGCTTCTCTAAGAGTTTTCATTGTTTGTGAAATGAAATAGAACAGTTTGAATGACTTGAATAAATGCCATTTTGTGCCAAAGCCATAATTTCAACAGGAGAGCTTTATCCATTATTTCTATCAGAGCACTTACTTCACCCATTCATCATTTAAGAGGCATTGTATTGATGCAGCATACACTTTCAACCTTGAGAGAGCAGTTGTAAAAAGGAAGGAGGCTGAACTTTTTCTTAGCAAAACCTTTAGCTATTTTCCAGTTTCTGAGATTGTTGTCTGACTTGATTATTCTCATGAAGGTCTCAAAACCCTCTTACAGTATGTGGTTACTTCAAATACTGTATAATTCATGACTCATTGCATGAAAGCAAGAAAACAGAGTTATCATTGAGTGTCCAAAGCTAACAGAAAAAGATGAAATTTCATATATTCTACACTAGAAAGGTGTTTTATACTGTGCTTTGAAAAGGAGGTAGGGGAATGGTCCATGTGTCTTTAGCATGGAATTTAGTGCAGGTAGTCACCTCCCCCAGAGAAAGCCAATGCCTGGTACACTCAACACATTCACTGTATAAAATATCAGAGTCTACAAACACTCATTTGACCTTAAAATTTGTTTGAATAAAATGCCTGTTTATTAGAGATATTTTGGATCACAGATGTCAGATTCCATTAAGGAACTTAGCTGTAACGATGGAAACTTCTGCTCCCATCTCCTCAAAACCCTCTAACTTTCCTTCACGCCATAGATGACAGTTGCAGTAAAGCTCTTCATCTGAGTCCACATTTCTTGGAAACCAAATCGACAAACATATTTTTAAAAGAATGTAGAGTCAGAGCTGCCACCTGCTTCTGTATACAGAACTGTGGTTTTGGGAACAGTGCCTGAAACACCACGTGCACACAGCATGAAAGCATAGCGGGCTCAAGCTTATGACCCAGAGCATTTTACACCTTAGATATAGGTCTTACAGGTATGTTCTTAATCATTCTTTTCACAATTTTATTTTAAGGGCCATACATTTTCCTATTGAACTATGAAAATCAAGGGATCATAGTATGTTTATTTATGATTAATAAAAATATATCCTAAATGTGTACATTTGGAAAGGGAAAGAGATTGGGAAAGTAAATGGCATGCACTAGAAATGTGCTTACCAAGTATGTTGGTTTGGGGATAAGCATGCTAACTCATATTCCTTTATGATCTGAGAAGAACATACACCAAAAAGGCTGGATCACTTTCCCCATTACTCCATAATTTTTATTTCTATCCTCCCTTGCATTATACTTAGTAAACTATATTAGCATAGTTAATAAAGTATTATATAATATAAATAATTCTATAAGTAACATTTAATTAATGTTCATATGCCTTTAAATTCTAATTATATGTTCCATTAATTCTAAGACACACGTTTCTATTATTGTTGCTTATCTATATTTTAACACTTCCAAAATAGACTCTTCTCTTACAATCAATGGTGCCTTGCAGAACAGTCTACATATGCTCCCCATTGGTCACCTGGGGCACCATCTACATTCTCTGCTCAGGTTTATGACCACACTGATTGCATGAACAAATGCACAAATCAAACAGAAGACTCTGGGACTGATTCTCAGGGAAGATTCTTCCTTCATTGAGTATCAAAAATAAGAAGTGTGACTGTCCTAGAGTCTATTTCTGATGAGTGGCTTTTGTCACATTTACTGTAACACTAAAGGTGGCATCCTAACATTATCAGCAGAGCCTTTGGGTACTTACTTTTGCTTGTTCATTGTTCTCAGTATACCAAACAATGGTAATATTGTTACCAGAGATTTGTGTAGAACCAAAAGCCTCCACTCAACCTTGCTGGTTTAGATGTTTAGTCAGAGGGAGTGTCAGCATTCCATGTTCTTGTCTCATAATTTGAAAGAGTGAAAATCACAGACAATAAGAGTAAGTTAAGCAGAAGAGTTTTTTGAGATAGAAAAGTAGTAAAGAGTAGAGCTCCCAGAACTGGGAGGGGTTCCAAGAGAGGTTGCCAGAGAAGTGATGTGATCTGAGGTTTTTACCCATTTTCTCCAGCTGTTGCTCAATCTCTATGCTAATTAGGTATGCAGAAAGCAGCTTCTGGTTGGCTGTGCCTGGAAAGTTCTGATTGGTCAAATTCTAGTCCTGTCCTCACAGTGTCCTCATTTTGGTCCACCCTGTTTTTCATTCTTTCTGCCCTTTAAGGTCACAAGGAGGTCATAATGGAGGTTTCCAAGGGACTTCTGTCCTAGCAGTATGGTCTACTTTTAGCTAACTGCATAGCTTACTTGCTTAACACCTTTCATTCATTGCTGTCTTACATAAAAGATAAAAATTTGCATCATGATACTTCATAATTTGAGACAATAGCAAAGAATATAGTTTATTCTTTTGAAAGTCAAGAAAAAAATGATAATGTGAAAAGGATTTCAGACAAATAGTTAAGATACAAAACATTACTTAACATTTTAGAGGCACTCTAAGCACAAAAAAATTGATAGACTAATTAAAATTTTAGTCTTTTATTTAAAGCTATTTTCTTTTGGGTGGCATTTTGGTAGTTTTATTAGCACAATTTGGTGAAATGCTTTCCTTATGAAAAAAATCTAATACCCCAAAATTTGCACACAATGAATTGGTGTAAATGAGCAAGACTTTCGAATATAAATATATGCTAGTGGCAGTGTTTGTGCATAATGAAGTGTCTGGCTATTTAAAAGTTATTAGCCAATCTGTCAAAGTCACCTGAAACTCGGAGGGGAATAATCATGAGCGAGAGTGGGCTGTAAGCCTCCTCTGGATAGTTCAACTACTGGAGCACTTTCAAATGCTTTGCTCTCTGGAGCTCTTTATGCTCTTAAAACTATCAGTTCATTTTAAAATCAACAAAAACAAACTCATTGCAAGATAACAGGAGTAGTATGTTTTGAAAAATAACTATATTTGTTCAGAGCAAAAGTTTTTTTTATTATTTGAAAAATAACTTTTTTCAGGGTTAAAGTAAAATTTTTTTTTGAGAAAACTGGCACTGTTTTACACTCTGCAAATCACTGTGTCTGGCTTGGTAAAGGATATTTGGGCTGCTATATGCTATTTTGTGTTAAACATTTGAAGAAAATCTGACTTCTGATAGACATGTCATTGAAAAAGGGAGGACTTTATGACTCTCCTAAAAGGATCTTGGGAACTCTCCGGTGTGCATGGGGCCACACTTTGAGGACCACTGTCCTAGATGAGTGTCTGGCAAGGACAGGGCTGACATTCAACTCCCATATTCTAGAAAAGCCACAAAGCTTGTTAAAATATTAAAATCTGCATGTATCATTTGGCAAATATCCACTGCCTCTAGTCTAGCAGAGCACTCCTACCTTCTTTTCAACCCCCACTCCCCATCACCATTAGTTAAAAAGTGTTTTGACTTTATCATTGCTCTGAATCTCAGGGTGCCCATGGGATTTCATTGGTTAGCTATTGTTTTACATGTGAGGCCATAGTCTTAGTTCTTTCTGCAGGCAAAACACTATTCAAATTGACCTTTATGTGCTCTCCTGAATTACTGGTCTGGAACCAGGAATGCTTCAAACCAGTCCAAAAATATGTCAGAATATGAAAAGGAATCCCTCATTGCTTCCTTCTGTATTCCCCAAGAGTACATTTCTAGGGACCACCAAAAAGTCACCAAATTGGACTCTTACCCAAGTAATAAAAACAAGTGATCAAAAAGCAAATAGTTATAAGAATTTCCCAGATGACTAGATCAAAATCTTATTGATGGCAATTTAGTGCCTTGGTAAAGATAATTGTAAAATATGCATTTATTCAACCCACTACCACCATCATCATGGCACACAGACACACACCCTAACTTGTGGTATGCATATTTTTACAACCTTTCTTCATCTATATTGTAACAATGATTGGATCAAATTAAAGGATTTGTAAATTTCCACTAGAATGATGAGAGTCACTCAAATTTTGTAATTCATTTATGTTTACATTGGTTGTGACTGTTCTTTGGGTTTCCTTAAGAATTTTCAAATATATGTAAATGCTAAGTATCCAATGAAACACTATGAGGGGCTGGGTGTTGTGCTGAAAGACTGTAGTAATGTAATTCTACCTACTCAGGAGGCAGAGATCAGTAGAATTGTAGTTTCATGCCATCCAGGCAAAAAGTCAGTGAGACTCCATCGCAACAAAAATCTGAGGGTGGTCGTGCATCTCTGTAATCCCAATTATGAGGAAGGCAT